AGTGAGAACCTGTCTCTAAAAAAAAAAGTACTTTACACATTTTCTTGATTGAAAACTCATTGTACTTGGTTGTAAATACGTACTTGGATAAATAGTGATAAAGTCTTTTTTATAACACTCTCTCCCCAATTATGCTATTTGAAGAAACTGGCTAATTTGTTTTGTAGATTGTTTCATATTCTATATTTGCCTTATTACCTCTTTGATGTCTTTGATGTGTCATCTGAGTTGCTTCTTTCCTTCTTTTATGTCTTCTAAACTGGTAGTCAGATCTAAAGCGTGGTTTTATTCAGTGCTTAGTTTTTAAAAACGTCTTTATTTTAAGGGGAGTAGGGCAAGAATACTTACTAAGCTGTATATTTATTTTGTTCGAGACGACCCTGGCCAATGTGGTGAAACCCCATCTCTACTAAAAACACAAAAATTATTCAGACATGGTGTCATGCACCTGTAATCCCAGCTGCTTGAGAGGCTGAGGCAGGAGAATTGCTTGAACCTTGGAGATTGAGGCTTCAGTGAGCAGAGAACATGCCACTACACTGCAGCCTGGGTGACAAGAGCGAAACTCTGTCTCAAAAAAAAAAAAAAAAAAAAAAGGGGGGGGTGTTGGGAAAAGGTAACATTCTAATTCTTTAATTTCTTCTACATTTATTAGCTAGAATTTTTCGTGAAGGACTTAACCCTCAGCTGGGCGCGGTGGTTCACGCCTGTAATCCTAGCCCTTTGAGGAGCAGAGGTGGGCGGATCACCCAAGGTCAGGAGTTTGAGACTAGCCTGGCCAACACGGTGAAACCCCATCTCTACTAAAAATACAGAAATTAGCTGGGTGTGGTGGTGGGCGCCTGTAACCCCAGCTACTTGGGAAGCTGAGGCAGGAGAATCACTTGAACCAAGGAGGTGGGGATTGCATTGAGCCAAGAGCACGCCACTGCACTCCAGCCTGGGTGACAGAGCAAGACTCTGTCTCAGAAAAAAAAAAAAACAACAAAAAAAAAACAAAAAAAAAAACTTACCCTCATTGACTATTTGTTTATACTAGAATATTTTATACAGGCTATACAGACTAGATGTATACTTAATTCTGTTTTATTTGCTGCTTTCAGAATAATGATTTTTTTCTTTATAACCAATCATCTATTAATGAAGTTTTTTAAAAAGGTATCATAAACTTGTGAATTTATAGATTTGATTTTAAAAAATCAATTTGCAGTCATTTTTTTTTTTTTTTTAACGTATTAACAAGAGAACATTCTTGTAATTGAAAGTGACATTGAAAAAGTCATGCTCTGCAGGGATGATCTTGCCACAGGGTTAAGCAGTGGTTCTTAGCTGGGTGTTTGTAACTTAATCTTTGAAAATTAAACCACACCAACAAATCCAAATCTGGGACCTGTCTGAAAACTGTTAAATACCAGACTAGGGGAGTCTAGACTCCTTTGTTTTTCAAAAGACCCTCCTGTCATTCTGTTTTGTACAACCCTGTTTAAGAACTACTGGATCAAAGACTAAAAGCTCAAAGAACATTCCAGCTACTGCAAGTAACCTAGGTATGTGATAGTAAGGACATGGATTAAGGTAATGTCAGTTGGAATGAGAGGAAGGGAGGGATAGAATAAAGCAACTTCATATCTTAAAAGTTTCCGTATGGTATTTTGTGAATAATGTTGGTAATAATACCAGGTTTCAAAGAGTAGTGACAGAGGTGACTCCAGGATTTATGGTATTGGGGCCTGGGAGAATGCTATTGATAGACCAGGTAAGATTGGCAGAGATTCCTAGTTTAGGGGAGAGAAGATAATGGGTTTTTGGACATGAGGAGAGTTGAGATGATGGCTGTATTTCAAAGGGAATTCTGGGAGGTTGCAGTGTGTTTTACGTCTTGCTCTTCCTGAATGCTTCATTCATTCTCTTGGCTTATTACTCAACTAATGGATATAAGTCATGCTACATTGCTTGGGAAAGTTAATAATGTTGAGGTTTCATTTGATACATGTGATCACAAAAATATTTGATATTTAAAGAATGATCAGTTTATTTTATTTTATTATTTATTTATTTATTTATTTGAGACAGAGTCTCACTCTGTTGCCAGGGTCCAGGTTGGAGTGCAGTGGTGTGATTTCCCCTCACTGCAACCTCTGCCTCCCAGATTCAAGCAATTCTCCTGCCTCAGCCTCCCTAGTAGTTGGGACTACAGGCCCGCACCACCACACCCAGCTAATTTTTCTATTTTAGTGGAGACGGGGTTTCACTATGTTGGCCAGGATGGTCTCGATCTCTTGACCTCGTGATCCACCCACCTTGGCCTCCCAAAACGTTGGGATTACAGGCGTGAGCCACTGTGCCTGGCGAACGATCAGTTTAATGTAAAATGGGAAACAGACTAGAAAAAACATTGTAGCAAATAGAAAAAGATTAATATTAAAAATGTAAACATTTGAAACAGAAACAAAAAAATCAGTAAATTAGGCAAAGGACTTAAACAGATCATTCTTACAACTGGGGGATATATTTCATTAATTCATTTCTTCAACATTTACTGAGCTCTTAACGTCAGGTATTGTTTGTTCTAAATGCTAGCAAACAAGACATGAGATCTCTGAACTTTCTGGTGGTAGAGTGAGAGACAGACAGTGTGAGAGTTGGGCAATGGACATGCTCTAAAAAACAAGAATTTCAAATAGCAGTGATGCTATTAATAAGGGGCCAGAAGTGGTGGCTAACACCTGTAATACCAGCACTTTGGGAGGCTGAGGCAAGCATTTGAGAATAGACCAGGCAACATAACAAGACCTTGTCTCTACAAATAAAATGAAGTATTAGTTGGGTGTGTTGGTGTGTGCTTGTAGTCATAGCTGTTTGGGAGACTGAGGTGGGAGGATTGCTTGAGTCCAGGAGGCAGAGGTTGCAGTGAACCATGATTGTGCCACTGTACTCCAGCCTGGACAGTAGGGCATTGAGGTAGAGAGTGACTTTGGTTTTTATTTCTTCTTTTCTTGGGAACACATTGGTTACAGTGTTGTGTAGTTGGAGGTTAGCATTCCTAATTATCTGGAAAAAATATTGGTTAGATTTAAGTTCTATTGTGGGTTCCTTATAATTGGATTTGTAAATACTTTTCTTTTTTAGATTTTTCTTTTGTTTGGTTATTCTTGAAAAAGTTTTTTATTGGATAGAGTGTAGAGTTTCTCCTGACAAGAAAAATGGGTGCTTTCTTTTTTTTGAGACAGAGTCTCACTCTATCGCCAAGGCTGGAATGCAGTGGCGTGAACTCGGCTCACTACAAACTCTGCCTCCTGGGTTCAAACGATTCTCCACTTCAGCCTCCCGAGTAGCTGAGATTATGGGCATGGTAGCACATGCCTGTAGTCCCAGCTACTCGGGAGGCTGAGGTAGAAGAATCACCTGGCGCTACTGCACTTCAGCCTCAGTGACAGAGTGAGACTCGATCTCAAAAAAAAAAAAAAGTTACTTATTTGGATTCTTGTCACACAATAGTGTTGACTTTGTTCTATGGGGAGGGAAACTATTCCTCTAAAAAATGTTCACATTTTTCCTATTACTTCATTTAGTAATGAAATGTAATGGATTTGACTCTGTCATGAGTCAGTGGCATATCTGAGGGATCTTTGAAGTTAAAGGAGATCACTACTAGTTAAAGGAATTGACTAGAAAGTTTCTTTTATTTTTTGCTATATAATTATGCAATATATACATCATGTAACTAAATGTTTGAAACGATAAATAATGTGTAGAGAGTTCAGTGCACTTTTTTTTTAGATGGCATCTTGCTCTGTTGACCAGGTGGAGTGCAGTGGTGGTATCTCTGCTCATTGCAGCCTCCGCTTTTCAGGTTCAAGCAATTCTCCTGCCTCAGCCTCCTGAGTAGCTGGGATCACAGGCTTGCACCACCATGCCTGGCTAATTTTTGTTTGTATTTTTAGTAGAGATGGGGTTTTACCATCTTGGCCAGGTTGGTCTCGAACTCCTGATCTCAAGTGATCCACCCAGCTCGGCTTTCCAAAGAGCTGGGATTATAGGCATGAGCCACTGTGCCTGGCTCAATGCACTTCTTTAAAGAAAAGTAGTAAGTGGTTTACAAATGGAAAGTTATCTGTTTAAGGAACTTCTTTAACAAATTTTGTGTTTTTCATATATTATTGAAGATCTATCCAGAAACACACACACACACACACACACACACACACACATACACACACATACACACACACACAGAGCGAGAGAGCACGAGCGAGAGTGAGAGAGCGAGAGAGGGAGAGGGAGAGAAAGAGAGATAGCTGTTACTTTGTAGTTATGTTTTTTATTAAGTAGGGACTTTTTAGGTATAAGAAAGAGATAATAGAAAAGGAAAACAACTTTTAGTCTTTAATTTTCTATTTAATAATTTACTGTTAGCAACATAAGATTTGTAGTGGGGGGGCTAGGCACAGTGGTGTGTGCCTGTAGTCTGAGCTACTTGGGAGACTGAGGCAGGGGGATCACTTGAACCCAGGAATTCAAGACCAGCCTGGGCAGCATAACAGGACACCATCTCTAAAAAAGATTTGCACAGGAGAAGAGGGATGAATAAATGGAAACAAAATAGAACTAAGATAGAGTTCTTTTTTTTTTTTTTTTTTGGACGGAGTTTCGCTCTTGTTACCCAGGCTGGAGTGCAATGGCGCAATTTCGGCTCACCGCAACCTCCGCCTCCTGCGTTCAGGCAATTCTCCTGCCTCAGCCTCCTGAGTAGCTGGGATTACAGGCACGCACCACCATGCCCAGCTAATTTTTTTTTTGTATTTTTAGTAGAGACAGGGTTTCACCATGTTGACCAGGATGGTCTTGATCTCTTGACCCTGTGATCCACCCGCCTCGGCCTCCCAAAGTGCTGGGATTACAGGCTTGAGTCACGCGCCTGGCCAGAGTTCTTATACTTAAATTAGCACATGCTTGCTTTAATTTTGACTACCTTGTATGGAATTTTTTTCTTTTTAAAGGAAACTTGGATATAACTTCAAAAGAAGATTTGGTTCTTTATTTCTGGACTGCGTACATATAACAAGGCCATTAAAATGTCGGGAGCCTCAGTGAAGGTGGCTGTCCGGGTAAGGCCCTTCAATTCTCGAGAGACCAGCAAGGAATCCAAATGCATCATTCAGATGCAAGGCAACTCGACCAGTGAGTACATATTGTTTTCTCTCAGCTGTGTATCTTATTTTCCTTTCCTCTTTACCCTGTCTTCATGCTTTGTTCAGAATAGATGAACATTTCTATGTTAACATTTTGAATTTTCCTATTCTGAATGATCCATTGAATGTTTTCCCCTCCGTGGTATTTATTGTAGTATATTTAAATATGGACTATTTTATTCTGTACAGTTGAGAAATCCTGAGTAACTGAACTAATTTAGCAAATGTTTATGCTTTTTAAGTTGAAATCTTAATAAAGGTGTGAACAGTGCTTTTTGCTAAGTCCTAATGTGAAATATACCTACTGAGGCTGCAAGAGTCATTGTTATTCTTTTCAGATTTTAAATAATACTTGAGTTTGCCAAGATGATCTTAGAACTTCTCAGTGGTTGAGTTGAACAATGGATTTAATATATAGTAAACTTATACATTATTACTAAAATTATCAGTAATTACTTCAGAGTTCCTTTATATAATTGCTTAGATGAAAAATGACTTAGGCTGTTTTCTTTTATGCTTGTACTACCAAATTACTTGATATGGATCTATAGGAAAATTATTGGTTAAAATAGAGGTAGGCTCTGCTGTCTTTAAATCTGTACTTTTGTGATAGAACAGAATCATCACCCTTTGAGGCACAGGTTACTGCTGAAGTACACATTCTAATCTCATTAGCTTGTGCTCCGTTTGCCAATATTCTGTGTAGAGGAGTCTACTGGTGGGAATGTTTGTTCCACAAAAATCTAGCTAGATATTGCAGCCCACATTTCAGGTAGTTCACATACAACTTTGAACATTCCATTGCTTATATGCTTCTCTGAACTTGACAAGGCTTGCAACAATCTTTTTTTTTTTTTTTTCAGGGTTAATTCACTTTATTTTTGTTGTATAAAAACCCTATGTTGTAGCTACAGCTGGAGCCTGGATCTTCTGCACAGAGACTTTGGTGTTAGTATTGACAAGATGGTCAGTGATTTCCTGATAGGGAGACTTGGTGAATACAGTCTCCTTCCACAGGTTGGGGATCACATAGCTGTAGATCTTAGAGATGGCATCAAAGGTGGCCTTGGCGAAGTTGCCCAAGATGGCAGTGTAGCCCCAGGCTGAGGTGTAGCAGTCATCGATAGCAGCCATCATGAGCAGCTTCTTGAGCACAGGTGCTGAGATGATGCCAGCTCCCCTGGGTACGGGGATGAGGTGCACCAGCACAGAGGTGCACTAGCACGGAGCTGCAGTGGCCTGTCACCTTGCAAGGGATGGTGTGGGGCTTGATGACCTTGTTCCCCCCAGTAGCTTCTGTGCACGGGAACCATGGAGAGCTTAGCCAGGATGATGGCCCCGCGATGGCAGTGGCCACCTCCTTGGAGCATTTAACACCCAGACCGACATGGCCATTGTAATCCCAGGTGGCAACAAACGCCTTGAACCTGGCACGCTGGCTGGCACGGGTCTGCTTCTGCACCAGTGTAAACTTCAAAACCTCATCCTTGAGAAAGGCCCCCAGGAAAAAGTCAGTGATCTCAGATTCCTTGATGGGCAGGGAGAAGAGGTAGCTCTCCAGGGACTTGATCTTCATGTTCTTTATCCGGCCCAGCTTGGTGACAGGCATCCATTCCTTATCCTCGGCGTTGCCTCTGTGAGCTCTGTGGTCTCAGCCCTGGCCCTGTCTACGGCCACGACCCTAGCTCTGGGTGCCACTGAAGCATCCTTGGAAGCCACCGCGTTCCCCATCTCAGCCCTGCCCCCCCCCCGCAACACTGGTGTTATCCACCATTTGGTGTTTTCTTGGAGAAGAAGTGCAACAATCCTTTCTTTTTTTTGTGGATGGACAAAGTCTCACTCTTTCGCCAGGCATGATCTTGGCTCACTGCAACCTCCGCCTCCTGGATTCAAGCAATTGTCCTGCCTCAGCCTCCCGAGTAGCTGGGATTACAGGCAGGCACCACCATGCCCATCTAATTTTTGTATTTTTAGTAGAGATGGGGTTTCACCATGTTGGCCAGGATGGTCACTATCTCCTGACCTCGTGATCCACGCTCCTTGGCCTCCCAAAGTGCTGAGATTACAGGCCTGAGCCACCATGCCTAGCTGCAACAATCTTTTTATTTATTTAATTTATTCTGTTTTTTTTTTTATTTTTTGAGACGGAGTTTCACTCTTGTTACCCAGGCTGGAATGCAATGGTGCGATCTCAGCTCACTGCAACCTCCGCCTCCTGGGTTCAGGCAATTCTTCTGCCTCAGCCTCCTGAGTAGCTGGGATTACAGTCATGCGCCACCGTGCCCAGCTAATTTTTTGTATTTTAAGTAGAGACGGGGTTTCACCATGTTGACCAGGATGGTCTTGCTCTCTTGACCTCGTGATCCACCCCCCTTGGCCTCCCAAAGTGCTGGGATTACAGGCTTGAGCCACCGCGCCCGGCCAACAATCTTTTTATTTAAAAAAAAAAAAAAAACATTTGAAGGCTGAGTGTGGTGGCTCATGCCAGTAATCCCAGCACTTTGGGAGGCCAGGGCAGGAGGATCACTTGAGTCCAGGAGTTGAGGCTGTAGTGAGCTGTGTTCGTGTCACTGCACTCCAGCCTGGGCAACAGAGCCAAGACCCTGTCTCAAAAAAAAGGTTGTTTTTTTTGTTTTGTTTTTGAGATTCCATATATATATTTAAAAAAACCAAAAAACTGAAAGTAGGTTAAACAGCTGTATCATTGTATTTCACTTTTCTATGTCAATAGTGCCAACAGTTCTGTGAATTATATCCTATGAAAAATTGTCAAAGAAAAAGAGATGCAGAAGTCAACATCGAATTGTATAGATTAAGCTGGTGAACTTTATGATATATAAATTGTATCTCAATAAAGTTCTTTTTTCTTTTTTCCTTTTCTGAGACAGTCTCACTCTGTCGCCCAGGCTGGGGTGCGTGGCATGATCTCAGGTCACTGCAACCTCCACATCCCCGGTTCAAGTGATTCTCCTGCCTCAGCCTTAAAAGTAGCTGGGATTGCAGGTGTCCACCACAACACCTGGCTAATTTTTGTATTTTTAGTAGACACGGGGTTTCATTATGTTAGCCAGGCTGATCTCAAACTCCTCACCTCAGGTGATTCACCTGCCTTGGGCTCCCAAAGTGCTGGGATTATAGGCATGAGTGACTGTACCCAACAAAGCTGGTTTTAAGAAGTCATTATTGATCATTTGCTCCTTAAAGTTTGAGTTAGACTCATAATTGAACTAGACAGCATATTAGATAAATGTTTATGTTCTTAAATGTCATTTTTTAAAAACTATTTCATTCTTCGTTTGAATGGTTAAGCTTTATATAGTATATAACTAAACCCTTATTATTGAGCCTGTCATTTCTCTCTGTGAAAAACGTGTTTAATTATTATAACTTAGTTCGGAGGCATTTTGGCTGTTGATATTGGCTCTGAATATGCTAGTGTGTGTCACAAGTTCCTTTGAAAGGTGGACTTTAGGAAATCTTGGATCAAGAGCAAGAACCAATTCCAAAAAATACTATTAAGTAGGTTGGGCATGATGGCTTAGGCCTGTAGTTTCAGCACTTCGGAAGGCCGAGGTGGGCGGATCACTTGAAGTGTGGAGTTCGAGTTCAGCCTAGCCAACATGGTGAAACTCCGTCTGTAGTAAAAAATACAAAAAATAGGCATGGTTCACGCCCGTAATCCCAGCACTTTGGGAGGCCGAGGCGGGTGGAGCGCCTGAGGTCGGGAGTTTGAGACCAGACTGGCCAACATGGTGAAACCCCATTTCTACTAAAAATACAAAGATTAGCTGGGTGTGATGGCAGGCGCCTGTAATTGCAGCTGCTTGGGAAGCTGAGGCAGGAGGATTGCTTGAACCCAGGAGCTAGAGGTTGCAGGTGAGCTGAGATCCCGCCATTGCATTTCAGCCTGGGCAACAGAGCGAGATTCTGTCTCAAAAAAAAAAAAAAAAAAATTAGCTGGGTGTGGTAGCCCATGCCTGTAATCCCAGCTACTGAGGAGGCTGAGGTAGGAGAATTGCTGGAACCCAGGAGGCACAGGTTGCAGTGAGCTGATACTGTGCCACTGCACTGCAGCCTAGAGACAGAGTGAGACTGTCAAAAAAAAAAAGACTATTAAATACTTATGTTTGTGATAATCTTTCACATACTGAACGTCTCATTTATCCAGGAGAAACCTCTGTTGTCATGGGGATATATTCTCATTAATGATTGGGATTCTGTTGCTATTTTCTTTATAGGGTTGGAAATTTTACTAAAAACATTTAAGTAGAAATTGAGTATTAAAAGGCCATATTTTTGCTGGTCCCGGTGGCTCATGCTTGTAGTCCCAGCACTTTGGGAGGCTGAGGCGGGTGGATCACCTGTGGTCAGGAGTTAAGAGACCAGCCTGACCAACATGGTGAACCCCCACCCAACTAATTAGAAAAATTAGCCAGGTGTGGTTGCAGGTGCCTGTAATCCCAGCTACTCGGGAAGCTGAGGCAGGAGAATGGTTTAACCCAGGAGGTAGAGGTTGCAAGTGAGCCAGGGTCATGCCATTGTACTACAACCTGGCGACAGAATGAGACTCCCTCTCAAAAAAAAAAAAAAAAAGAAAAAGATTTCTAGTTGTACACCTTTTGAGAATAGGGCCATACAGTTTTAGAGTTTGTGGGAATGTAAGTTCTGTTCACCAATTTTTGCTTATATCCCACAAAAATCTCTCCAGAATTATTGAAAATATTGATACTTCTTTTGATAAAACATTTAAAAAGAGGCCAGGCATGGTGGCTCATGCCTGTAATCCAAGCACTTTGGAGGCCAAGGTGGGTGGATCACCTGAGGTCAGGAGTTCAAGACCAGCCTGACCAACATGGTGAAACCCTTTCTATTAAAAAAAAAATTTAGAAAAGATTAAAAAATAAAAATAAAAAAGAGAGCTTGCTTTTATTAAAAGTAATTAACAGTTTGGTTAGAATAGGCTTTATTATATTGCACTATGCTATAAAA